TTGTATATTTTAACATTAAAAATATACCATTATAAATACATATTTTCTATATTATATAAATACTTTTATAAATATATTAAGATATATGTAAATATATTAAAAAAGCTAAGAAAAATTACAAAAATACACATCAAAATATAAAATAATAGAAAGTGCTTAAAATATAAAAATTAATTCAAAATATTAATGTTTTAATACTATCATTGAATAATAATGATACCAAAATAACACTCCCTGAACAGCTGATTTAAGTATTAAAATGCATTATAATGTGACATAACAGTTCAGATCAAATCTCTGCATCTCACCAGTGATGCAGGACGCAATTGGTCAGATAGATGAGATGCAGGCGGAGCTCGAAATGTGCCTCGTCCGCAGTGATGCGGTTTCTGAGATGCGACGCCATCAGCTCGCAGTGCGGCGGGGTCTTAGCGTTACTGAACATCCAGTTCTTTCCAGCCTGAGAATGAGAAATAACCAAAAAATGACTAATCTGAGACACATCAGACAGAGCGGGCGTGAGCAAGTCAGGTTTCCAGCTCGTACCAACATGGCGTCTTTGGTGCAGGTGTCTATGATGGGCTGGAGCAGGTTGTCGAACTCGTTCATGTCCAGCTGCGTCTCCACCAGCAGTTTCTGCATCTGCTGCTCCATCGCCAGAGAGATGGCGGCCATCGTTTGCGCCTGAAACCCCAAAACACATTTATTTAACAGATTATATCAATGTCCAAAAGCATGGGATCAGTAGGACTATTTTTGAGTACGAAATGAATACTCTTATTCCGCAAGGTTGCATGAAATTGATCAAAAGTGACAGTAAAGACATTTATAATGATTTCTATTTTAAATAAATGCTGTTCTTTTGAACTTTCTGTTCATCAAAGAACCCTGAAAAACAAAATGTATCACAGTTTCCACAAAAATATTCAGCAGCACAACTGTTTTTAACATTGATAATAATCAGAAATGTTTCTTGAGCAGCAAATCAGCATCTTAGAATGATTTCTGAAGGATCACGTGACACTGAAGACTGGAGTAATGATGCTGAAAATACAGCTTTGCATCACAGGAAATAAACTGCATTATAAACGAAATAAGTAAAGTTTGTAAACAAATGTTAACTTGGGCTTGACAAAGCCTTGTCTGAAAGTTTGAAATGACTTTGAAAAGCTTGAAGTTTGAAGATTTAACTAAGCCAATAAAATGTTACTAACATGTTGCTGCACACTGCTAAAATGTTTAAGCAAGTGGCTAACGTTTTAACACATTGTTAACAAATTAATATGCTGCTACAATGTTCTTTACACTTTCCTACCATGTTTTGACACATTGCTAGTATGTTTTAGTGTTGCTAGCATGATTTAACAATGCTAACATGTTTTAACATTGATTCTAGCATGATTTAACACAGTTAACATGTTTTATCCTGCTGCTAGCATGTTTAAAACATTGCTAACATATTTTAACATGTTGCTAGCATATTATAACATTTTGCTAATGTTTTAGCATGTCCAAACACATTGCAAACATGATTCTAACATGCTTTAACAGTTTATGTTTTAACATGTTGCTAGCATGATTTAACACACTGCTAGCATGCTTTAAACATTGCTAACATGATTTATCATGTTGCTAACATGATTTAACACATTATTAACATGTTTTAATATGTTGCTAGCATGATTTAGCATATTGCTAACATGTTTTAAAATGTTAATATGATTTAACACGCTACTAGTATGATTTAGCATGTTGTCGTGGGACAGTCATTAAGCTTTGCTAGTGATACACAGCTTAAATACTGTAGATATTATTTATTGTACAAAAGTTTTGACCCCCTCAATGAAAGTCTATGGGACTTTGCATAGTTTTGATGGTCTGTTTAACAAAAACCATAAGTCCGATCAGTTAAAGATATAGCAACCCGAGTAACAGCACACACACGGTTCCTGTCTGCCGTGCTGCTGAGTGGTTTGCAATTGTAGCTTAGCCTTTCTGATTAATCTTTCTGATCTTACTATCACTCTCTGTTGTTTAAAGTGATAAAATATAACTTAACTCCCACCATATTTCTGATAGTATCTATCAAACTAATCTGATTAATTTGATCGTTCGCTTTTATTCTAAAACCGCGAGTGCAGCGCGTTAGCATTCGTTAGCTTGTCATTTGCGTTTCCATTAGCGTCTTTTGCGGTCTTCTTTTTTTTTCTCGCTCCATTTCTTTTCTTTCTCTCTCCGTTTTTTTTTCACGGGTTCATCAGTGGTAAGTCAGAATCATTCATCAATCACGATGAGTACTGGCTTCTTCTCCTGCTATTGTTGTTTGCACCGCTTGCCACATGTATAGTTTAGCTCTCTCTGTCAGCGGCGAGGGATACACATGTGATGAATGCAGGGAAATAGTTAGGCTGACAGAGAAGATTTCAGAATTAGAGACACGCATCCAAACTTTAATTGAGGGCAGTAAGAATGTGAGGGCTCTAGATACGGCTTTGGATGCGACTAGCTCAGGGAGTCCTGTACATTGTTCGGTTCCTCCTGGGGTGGTGCCGCTCTTCTCTCTAGAAATATGGCACATAGTCTTAGAGTTTGTACTTGACTAACTGGGGCCCAGGTCAGGAAGCAGACAGACTGGCTAAACCGACCGTCTGCTAGCCGCCTCATGTCACAGAACAGTTAATTCTCAGCACATAGAGACTCTTTCACCTAGATATCACACTATAGAGACTGTGTCTGTTCCCCGAACTAGAAAATACAAAAAACGTCCAAACCAATTTAAGAGTAACAATTTAATTGATGTTCAACAAATAAAAATTGTATATAATACAGAGAGACAAATTATAAAGCTTGACTTGTTGAATATCAGGTCCCTTTCTACGAAAGCGCTTTTTGTAAATGATATGATCACTGATCATAACCTAGATGTGCTCCGTTTGACAGAAACCTGGCTAAAACCAGATGATTAAATTATTTTAAACGAGTCTACCCCACAAGATTACCGTTATAAACATGAGCCGCATCCAAAAGGTAAAAGGGGAGGTGTTGCTTCAATTTATAACAATATGTTCAGTATTTCTCAGAGGGCGGGCTTCAGGTATAACTCATTTGAAGTAATGGTGCTTCATATCACATTATCCAGAGAAACAAGTGTTAATGATTAACCCCCTGTGATGTTTGTACTGACTACTGTATACAGGCCACCAGGGCACCATACAGACTTTATTAAAGAATTTGCTGATTTTATATCCGAGTTAGTGCTGGCTGCAGATAAAGTTTTATTTGTTGGTGATTTCAATATCCATGTTGATAATGAAAAAGATGCATTGGGATCAGCATTCATAGACATTCTGAACTCTATTGGGGTTAGACAACACGTCTCAGGACCTACTCATTGTCGAAATCATACTCTAGATTTAATACTGTCACATGGAATTGATCTTTTCTAGCATTTTAGATACGGTTGCTCCTTTACGCTTAAGGAAGACTAAGGAAAACAGTTTTGCACCGTGGTATAACGAGCACATTCGCGCCCTAAGAGAGCAGCCCGGAAAATGGAGCGTAGCTGGAGGAAAACAAAAATAGAGGTATTTCGTGTTGCATGGCGGGAAAGAACCCTATCCTACAGAAAAGCATTAAAACTGCTAGATCCGATTACTTTTCGTCTCTTTTAGAGGAAAACAAACATAACCCCAGGTATTTATTCAATCAGATAGTGCGCTGTAGATCCCCTGAGAAACAATTCCACTCGTTCTCTACTATAGGAGAGGAAGAATTTTATAAACTTGTTAAATCAGGATTTAGACTAGGCCTGTCACAATAACTTTTTGTTGTGCGATATATTGCCCCAGAAATAGGGTTGTGACGGTGAGGAAATGTTCCCACCGGTTAATCGACATGTGACAACACCGGTAATACCGGTATCACCGTGGGGGAGCTCGACTCACTCTCCTCACTGGAGAAATGAAATCTGATCTGTGTGATGCGACTGTCCTTTGGCACGCTGCATTAAGCAGCCGCGTTCAGTTTAATTGTAGTGTCTGTTCTTTTACTGAACTAAATGATTTTTATTACTATTAAAAATCAAAACGACGATGGGGGTCGGTGCCGCGGTGGAGCAAGTGACGTAACCGGTGTTGCAGCTTAACCGTCAACACAGTCTATCGCGGCAAGCCTACCCAGACATAATTGCAATAAGCAATATTATTGTAATTTTAAAGACCATTTTATGCCACTGAATATATATAATCATAATGTAACAGCATAATAATGCAAGGTCTACACACTTCCAAATGACAACAAACATTTAATTTTTAAGAATATTTAGATCATGGCAATTATGTATCAAAATATTAGATACCTCACAGATCCCTAAAAAAGACCATATCTGCAGATGAAACTTTTTTGTAGAAGCATTTTTTTTTTTAATTTGAACTAGCATCTCATGACTACACCACGTTATGTACGAGAAGCTGCAAAAGACACAGGCAGAAGTGGAATGTACAAAACATGGTGACATTCATTTAATATAATGGGTAAATATAATGGGCAATATATTGCGTCACCAAAAATTATTGAGGTCATGTACATATATTGCGCGATAAGTCTATATATTGATTATTGCGACAGGCCTAATTTAGACCGTATCATAGTACTGAGACTGCTCTCATTAGAGCTGCTCTTATCATCGGATCATGGTTGTATCTCTCTATTAGTACTACTGGATCTTAGCACTGCGTTCGACACTATCGACCACAACATTCTTTTGAATAGACTTGCTGATGACACTCAGCTCTATATTTCTTCGCGGCCCGGCAAAACACACAAATTTGAAAAACTAACGGAACGCATAGTTGATATAAAAAACTGGATGTCGAGTAATTTCTTACTGCTAAATTCTGAAAAAACAGGTGTGTTAATTATCGGACCTAAAACCTCCACATGTAATAACCTAGAACACCGTCTTACACTTGATGGCTGCTCTGTCAATTCTTCGTCATCAGTTAGGAATTTAGGTGTGCTATTTGATAGCAATCTTTCCTTTGAAAGCCACGTTTCTAGCATTTGTAAAACTGCATTTTTCCATCTCAAAAATATATCTAAATTGCAACCTATACTCTCAATGTCAAATGCAGAAATGTTAATCCATGCGTTCATGACCTCAAGGTTAGATTATTGTAATGCTTTATTGGGTGAATGTTCTGTACGCTTAATAAACAAACTCCAGCTGGTCCAAAACGCAGCAGCTAGAGTTCTTACTAGAACCAGGAAGTATGACCATGCACACTATTGCTGAGAAACACAATCACTACTTAGCAGTCAGATGTCCGTATGCACCAAGTCACAGATCCCTAAAAAAGACCATATCTGCAGATGAAACTTTTTTGTAGAAGCATTTTTTTTTTTTATTTGAACTAGCATCTCATGACTACACCACGTTATGTACGAGAAGCTGCAAAAGACACAGGCAGAAGTGGAATGTACAAAACATGGTGACATTCATTTAATATAATGGGTAAATATAATGGGCAATATATTGCGTCACCAAAAATTATTGAGGTCATGTACATATATTGCGCGATAAGTCTATATATTGATTATTGCGACAGGCCTAATTTAGACCGTATCATAGTACTGAGACTGCTCTCATTAGAGCTGCTCTTATCATCGGATCATGGTTGTATCTCTCTATTAGTACTACTGGATCTTAGCACTGCGTTCGACACTATCGACCACAACATTCTTTTGAATAGACTAGAAAACTCTGTTGGCATTAGTGGAAGTGCATTAGCATGGTTCAAATCAAACTTATCTGACCGCCATCAATTCGTAGCAGTGAATGAAGAGGTGTCATATCGATCACAAGTGCAGTATGGAGTACCTCAAGGCTCAGTACTAGGACCATTGCTTTTCACACTTTACATGCTACCCTTGGGAGATATCATCAGGATACACGGTGTTAGCTTTCACTGTTATGCTGATGACACTCAGCTCTATATTTCTTCGCGGCCCGGCAAAACACACAAATTTGAAAAACTAACGGAACGCATAGTTGATATAAAAAACTGGATGTCGAGTAATTTCTTACTGCTAAATTCTGAAAAAACAGGTGTGTTAATTATCGGACCTAAAACCTCCACATGTAATAACCTAGAACACCGTCTTACACTTGATGGCTGCTCTGTCAATTCTTCGTCATCAGTTAGGAATTTAGGTGTGCTATTTGATAGCAATCTTTCCTTTGAAAGCCACGTTTCTAGCATTTGTAAAACTGCATTTTTCCATCTCAAAAATATATCTAAATTGCAACCTATACTCTCAATGTCAAATGCAGAAACGTTAATTCATGCG